CCCTTAATCCAAGCACTTGGGAGGCAGAGGCAGGCAGATCTCTGAATTCAAGGCCAGCCTGGTCTACAGAGAGAGTTCTAGGGAATCCAGGGCTATTCAGAGAGACCCTGTATTGAAAAAAGAAAGAAAGAAAGAAAGAAAGAAAGAAAGAAAGAAAGAAAGAAAGAAAGAAAGAAAGAAAGAAAGAAAGAAAGAAAGAAAGAAAGAAATCAAACAAAAAGCCAATTCCAAGGTTCTCCTCTGGGGACTCTTTGGAGTCAGGCCAAAGAACCTGCACTCCTGAAAACCCCAGACAGTCTTTTCTTTGGGAAACAATGCATATTTTACTTTTTCTTTGGGAAACAATGCATATTTTACTTGAGCGAACAGCTCTCCTCCTAAGTGGGGCCTGTCAGTGATGCTGGCTGTGTGGGGAGGAATGCGGACCAGTTTGCAGCCAACTCCCCATCTTCACACCAGCTCCCAGGTACCTGTCAATCCAGTGTTCCTCCCTTCGGGGCCGTGAACTAGCTACTTTACACTGTTTTCACTGAAAACTGATAGTGGAGGAATGAAGCCGTTTCAAGACTAACACTATCTTCCTGGAGGGCTTGAGCCGGACCACCCAGCATTTGCTGACCGTGGTGGAAAAGCTGGAGATAAGGAGCCATACCTTGTGCAGAAAGCTTGGCATGCCTCAAGCCTGCACGCGCTACTGCAGAGGCTAGCAGCAGGTCTGGGGGACTCCACAGAGCAGCGTGGGGAGCACGCAGGACAAGGCTGCTCAGGATGCGAACAGAACTGAATCAATGGGTGAATACCCGGGACACATTATCAATTCTGCGCACGATAATTCCGTGTTTCCTTTCAAATATGCAAGATAGACCCGACCCCACTTCTCAGAAATTTGAATCAATCCTCCCCTTTCTTCTGGCCGTAACTGACATGAGGCCAAAAAGAGCTGAGGGAGGGGGCTTTGGGGGAGGAGTTCAAATCTCAAGGGTGCTCCTCAGCCCTGGACAAGTCCCTAACGTAGTGGCATCGGTTTGTGTCTGGGTTAGGGTCACAGTGTGAAGACAGCCCACAGCAGCGTGGATCCTCAACACCCTCTACTGTTACAAGGGCCCCCAAGTGGAAATGTCGGCCAAGGGTCACCAGGTCAAGGAGTGCCGCAGGAAGTGTTCTTTAAGGGTATGGGCGCGACTTTTTGTTTGCTAAAAATTTTGTCATGATAAGGATTGCATGGGACTGGTCGACAAAACGATCTTGCATTAGGGTGCGCGCCCCTTAGTCACCCACACCCAAGCACCCTCGGACTCTCACGGCACCCCACCACGACGAGCTCAAGGGTTGGGTGAGCCCCCCCGCCCCCCGATGCGAAGGAGCTAGAGCTCTACTCTTCCAGAAGGGGACTGCAGGCCCCGAAGAGTGAGGTCCCGGGTGCGGGGCAGGTGAGCACGGCGAGGCTGAAAGGGTCGCGAGCACGCGCGCTCGTCTACCTTGCAGGAGCGCGCAGCACTGGCCGTCCGCGGTGCTCCAGAGGCGGGCCGTGCCGTCCTCGCTGCCCGTCAGCAGGCGCTGCCCGTCGGGGCTCAGACTCAGCCAGTTGATGCCCCCGCGGTGGTCCGCACAGACCCTCAACGCCGACCCGCTGCTCCCCATCGCCAGGCGGGGGTAAAGAGGCGCTGTGGCCGGCTAGAGAGCGGTGCTCCAGCGTCCGCACGTGGTCCTGGCGGGGCCCAGACGGACAGCGGCCATCGCAGGGGGGACCTGGTGCCCCGCTCCTGCAAAGGCTCGCGGTGCGGCGGGGAACAACAGGGACTCTGACTCTTCACCGGTATCCCCCGCTCGCGCGGCTCCGACGCAGAGCTCCAGGTGAGACCTCCCCTCCTCTGAACCGTCTCGGGGCGCAGGGGGGCCGCCTCTGCCTCGGGGTGCGCCCACCGGGTCTGAAGCGGGCAGAAGAACCCGAGAAGCGGAGCGCGGAACAATACAGTCCAGCCTGGCTCCTCCTCATAGACCACCCCCCAACCTGTCCCCTCCCACTTCTCCGGCCGCGCGCCAACCCCCACCACAAGACGCCCTGGTCGTCCTTTGGGAACAGAACTGAGATGCTACTCTGGTCCCGGCTTGGGGACCGCTTCCACGTGTTCCACGTGAGACCCTCCAGGCAGTCTAGGCTGGGTTCTGTCTCCTGCTCTTCCAGCTGTCCCTGTCCCCAGAGCCCAGGGCGAGGAAGAAGTGGACATAAGAGTCTGGAGTCTTGGGGGACCCCCGATGATGGGAGCTGGGGAGCCCCGAGTCCGCCCTCCCTGGGAAAACACGAGCACACACCGAATTCTACCAGGGCTGGGCAGGGGAGGGCTGGAAGCCGGGCCTTGGGGGTGGGGGTAGGGGCAAGCCCAGATGGGGGAGGTCAGGTTTGTCCCCCCCACACCCATCACCACCCCACCCCCTACGCCCTCAGCAGGGCGCGCGCCGCGCCGCTGAGGTCCCACTGAGGTCTGGCGGAATCCAACACCCGGCCCGCAGCCCTCCCGGAGCTCAGTCGGCTGGTTCCTATTAGAGCAGTTCCGGGTGTCGACTTTGCTGGGGGGCGGGGAGGGTGACCCCCTACACACACTCGGATCCTCCAGGTCCTAAAGGTAGCAGGGTTTCTCAAACCCTCCAGGGCTCTTTTTGTAGTCCAAGAAGAGAGGAGGAAAGCGATGGTTTGGGGGAGCCAGCCCCCTGGGTAATGTGATGACCTGCCCTGCCCACTCTGGCTGACCCTGTTCAGTTCCAAGAAAACCCCAGAAATGGGTTCCATGGAATAGCCGACTTTATTCCCCGAGTGGCGCAATCAAATAAACGTGTTTTTCCTCCCCTGAAACTTTCGAATAGGCTTAGGAGACCTTTGCAGGCGCCCGAAGAGCCAGCAGAATGTATTAAGGAGTGTTTTGATGGGCTCTTGAGTGTGGAGGCAGGAGGCTGCTGACGACCATAGAGAGGGTAAAGGACTCAGGATCCAAAATGCCTCTAAGGGCCCATCCTGAGTTCATCTAGTACCTTGACCTTTATAGGTCAAGGCCTTTGCACCACCGGTTGTGAAGACAGGCGGGTCAGGGGACATTGTAAAGGAGTTGGAGAACAGGCAGGGATAGGTGGTGTAAACGTATTCATAGCCTCAAAGATCTTGCCCTGCAGGGGATAGGGCAATAGCCACCTGGGGGAGGGGGGGAGGCAACACTTCCAAGGTGGGTCACATGATATGAGCAAAATGGGACTCCTCTACTTCTGGTTTGTCTACCAGTCCCCAGGAAAACATTTGTTTGCTTCCTCAAACCCAACCCTGCAGAGGAACCAAAGGCTGTCAATTCATTCCTCAGGTAGGTTTTGTACCCGGTGGCTGTGTGGTTGTGTAGTTACTGTGTTGGCTCGGGTCGTGTCTCTGCCCTTTTCCTTTACAGGGTAGCTGGAAAATCCAGCAGGATTTTCCTGGAGACAAGAAAGTTAGAAAGCAGCATCCAGGTCCTTTGAGCCTGGAGTCTTCTCCACCGAGAAACAACAAAGCTTGAGTTCCAGAAGCCAGGTAGGGCAGCCGCACAGCTGATATCGGCAGAAACTGGTGTGAGTGTGGCCCCAGGCCGCCAAGCCCCTGCAGGAGCTGTGTGCTCTGAGAGCTAAAAGTTTGCAGAATGTAAATCACCATAAGAAGTGGAATGGGGAGGGGACAGTCACATCCAAGAGGCAGAGGGAAAAGGCAGACTGTTCAGAAGAACCCCAGCATCAATGGACGTGACCATCTAGTGCCAGGGAGGGCCCATCCCCAAGGCCACACAGATAGTCTTAGTGTCACCTGTTAGAAAGACTGACCATCTGGGACTCTATGAGAAACACCTAGAATGGTGATAATCTCAAAAATAGGAGGTAACAAAAAGGTAACCATTTTTGGGGGCTCCTGTCATGAGCACACACTACCAGAAACATAAATGACACATTTGTGTCTTGCCACGTCAGAATTTGTTGAATCACAATAAATTCATACAGTTGCAATTTCAGGGGAGCAGTTTGTCAAATTATCCCTCCCACCACATTCTCTCCTTGATTGTGTTGAACGAGGCAAACAGAGGCTTTTAGTCCAGGCTTAATTATTAATATTAACTTTCAGATTATATCGTGCACATAGTAAATGTGTGTGTGCATATGCATAGGTTACAGAAGGGATACAAAGGGTTAAAAAGCAAGGAGTTCTGAAGAGGCCAAAGCTGGGAAACTGATAGCCACATTGACAGTGTGGGGGTGAGATACCAAACCAGCTGGCGGTCTCCGGAGAGGGCCTGCAGCTGCTATTGCAGGGTCCAGCTGCAAAGCCAGAGTTGAGCTACGGAGCTGAGGCCAGCTGTGGATGCGACAGGACAGGACTGGGCACGGAGTCACTGATGGGGATGGGTGGAAGGACAGCAGATCTAGAAGGATGGACAGCAAGACAGAGAAACCAGAACAGGCCGTGTCAGCAGTGGGGGCAGGGAGGAGCAGGGAGTCCTCTGCCTGTCTGCCCTTAGATGCACATATCAGGCGGCCAGGTGACAGGTCAGGAAGGGACTGTTGCCATGCCCCAGTGAGAGACTTACACCTTTTTCTTGTGTGTCCAATAAATTCTAGGGCCTGGTTTTCCTGACATGGTTTTCATATGCTCACGTGCCCAACAGTACTACTATTTTTTTTTTTTTTTTTTTTTCCGAGACAGGGTTTCTCTGTGTTGCTTTGGAGCCTGTCCTGGAACTCACTCTGTAGCCCAGACTGGCCTCGAACTCAGAGATCCACCTGGCTCTGCCTCCCGAGTGCTGGATTAAAGGCGTGCGCCACCACCGCCCGGCCCAACAGTACTACTTTTCCCCAATAGATTCATACTATGGCCCCTTTCTCTTCCCAGAGTGTCATTTTTCAGTGTGCATTTCACGAGTTGTGCCAGACAATACACAATCCATCTCCATCCTCAAAATGGAGCCCAAAATGCTTGTAAAGGGGAATCTTTCCGGGCAAGGCAAGACTGAAAAGCCACTGTTTTACATAATATGGATTAATTTAGGGCAGGGCCCAGCTCGATCTCGGCAGTACCCACAGGGTATTGTCACCTATAGCCCTGTGACACCCGCTCTTACTCTTGTGGTACCAGATGCCTTGCTGGAGATGGAAGGGACCGGTCATCATCGTCTTCGTTTAATTACTGACTGTGTTCCAGGTACTATGCTAAATACTAGTTTTTTTCAAGAAGATGAAAGCTTTTCCTGTTTGTGAGTTATTCCCAGAAGGAGAGCCCAGGGCCTCCAGAAGGAAACTGAAAGCCCCTGTGTGATTCCCACCAGGCTGAGAGTGCACAAGCCAAGAGGTGGTTTAGAGATGGGGCGCCACGGAGGTTGGCTGGAGAAAGGCGGGCTCCATCTAGATGGTATATGGAAGGATGGAGAGCTTTGCTGAGGGTGAAGTAGTGCTCAGAAGGGACTAGTCGAGAGAGAGGTTGAATGTGCAGAAGAGAGCAGAGAACCCTGAAAAGGAGGAGGCAGACAGAGCAAAAGGCGAGGTTGGCCTTGGGTAAGAACCCCCCGGGGTGTGCGTGAGCGGGGCAGGGAGGCCTTCTACTGGAGTCACAGTCCCGGGGCTCAAGTGAAGCACTAATTGCAGGCACGCATGGCTTCGTTATGCTCTTCTTTACCATCTGTATTTGAAATGTAAACATTTTGGTTTGGTTTTTGTTTTTTCGAGACAGGGCTTCTCTGGCTGTCATGGAACTCGCTCTGTTGACCAGGCTGGCCTCGAACTCACAGAGATCTGCCTGTTAAAGGCATGTACCACCACCACCCAACTGAAATGTAAACATTTAAAAACTATGTGCAGTCAGCGTTCTGTCACTATCGCAAAAGACCCGAGGCCAGTTTATGAAGAAGGGTTTATCTTGGCCCCCGGTGCTGGAGGCTCTTCATTCTGACCTGCTGATCCGCTTGCTGTGGGCCTGTGGTGGGACGGCACATCATGGCGGAAGCATGTAGAGAAACTGAATCCGTCACTTCACTACGAGCCAGAGAGCACAAAGGAAGAGGAAAAGCTTAGGACCCAAACCCCATCCAGGGTGCCACTCGATGAACTAAAGACATTCTGCCTGACCTACATCCAGGAGTATCCATCACCTTGGGGCCAACCCTTAACACACAGGTCTAGGAGGAATATTCAGAATTCAAACTTCTGTCCATAAAAAGGCAATTTCAAGGCACATAGCTGTAATCTTAGCCCTCAGTAGGCTGAGGAAGGCAGATTGTGATTTCCAAGCAATCTTGGGCAACTCAGTGAGACCATTCCTCAAAAACAAATTAAAATAAAGATCTGGGGAGAAACTGTTGAGAAAATAAAAATGACCTTTGGAATGGAAGAATATCAAAGAACTGATAAAAGTTTGAATGCAGAATACAATAGGAATTCCTTCGTCAACACACAGCTTTAAGTACGAAAAGGATGGTGGGCCTGGAGAACGGCTCAGTGGCCAAGAACGCTTGCTGCTCACACAGAAAGACCAGAGTATGTTTCCCAGCACCTCTGTGTTCAAACAGCAGCATCACTGGAACCTGCTGGCTCCCAGCCTGTGGTGATATTTTAATTGTACTGAAATGTGATTTTATTTGTATGTTAATAAATAAAGTTGCCTGGGGGTCAGAGCTAATAGCAAGCCATAGCAGAGCTGGGCATTCGTGGCACACGCCTTTAATCCCAGTACTTGGTAGAAGAGCTAGGTAGTTCCCTTTGTGGTCAAGGAAACAGCCAGCATTGGAGACACACGCCTTTAATCTCAATACCATAGAAGACCTGGAGGGCTGTACAGACAGGCAGTGACAAGGCAGTCATGTGGTTGGGTTTACAACCAATGAGAAGGCAGAACAGAAAGTCTATATAAAGACAAACAGACAGGAAGTAGGTCTCTTTTGGAGAGGTCTCTTGGCTGAAGAGGCTAGCTGCAGCAGGCTCTTAGCTCTGACCTCTTGGC